CAAGGTGCACAACCAGGGCCAACACTTGATTGGATACAGCGAGTTAGAATCGCAGTTGATGCAGCCAGGGGATTGGAGTATTTACATGAGAAAGTCCAGCCACCAATTATACACAGGGATATCAGATCAAGTAATGTCCTAATATTTGAAGACTACAAGGCTAAGATAGCTGACTTTAACCTTTCCAATCAGGCCCCTGACATGGCTGCCCGCCTTCATTCAACTCGTGTATTGGGAACTTTTGGTTATCATGCTCCAGAGTAAGCTTGAAGAACCTGCTAGCTCTTCATTTTATATCTATATTTGCTTTCGTATTTCCTTTGAATTTTCATATGCATATGCTATCCTGTACTACGAATAAACCTTTTTATATGTTTACACTTCTAGTGCTGCCTGTGCGATGTCCTTTTACATAAGCTTTCCTGATTTATTACTGAGGCTTATGTATGTGCTTGGATTTCAGTTAGGAAATCAATTCGAGTTGCAAAATAACTCGTTGTATCTTTTAAGTCAACTGGAGTTTGCGGTGAATTTTGCTTCTAACTAAATTTAGAAAAAAAAAGTATGTTGGCACGGTATTAAACGGAAACTGAAAGTTGGTTTGGATGTTCCCACCGATATCCAAACACACCCTATCACAAGGAATTGGACATTGAATAATTTCTCTTGTAGTCGTCTATTAAATTTGTTTATGGTTTCTTTACCTTGCTTCCCTTTCCATTTTTGTATGAATTCAATTCAAATGTGTGCAATCTTTCAATTTTACTTGATGATAAATCTGCAAGTGTTGATTGTTAACTTGTAGTGAGAGGAGGGAATGCGGTTCCATGGTATCACTACTGGTTTCGGACGTGAACCAGTTTTTTTTTTATTGACCCTGTACTCTCCACGATTGACTTAAATTTAGTAGAAGTTAAATTGATATACAGGAAATATAAGCAGTGTATCTAGTTTTTTTGATTCAGTTTACCTTGAAGGGTCTTTATTCACATTTATTTTAAAGTTTGTTTGTGCGTATGTTGTTCATGAACAGTATATANAAAAAGGAATTATTTCGGGTATTTATTTAGATAGCAATGACTTTAATTGGAAAGAAAAAATATAGCCGTTATTTTAGTGGTTTAGTTGAACAGATTCTCTTTCAATATAAGAAAATCCAAAAGCATGTGCTCCAATTTTATTACAACGGTCGACACCAATATTAAAAGCAAAAAATAAATAATAATAAGTACTCTCAGGTCCTAAAATAATGGTAAATTAAAGAAAAGGTCTTATTTTCATTCCCACACAATATAAAATTATAAAATTATAAATTAGAAAATTAGAAATAGAAAAAGTAACAGTTGGCTACAGATACCTTCTCCACTCATCATTCATTTTCTTTCCTACCAAGTTAAGAAATAAAAAGTGTCTCATTTATTTTATTTTTAAATCAACATTAAAAAGTCAAAGATTTTTTAGTAATTGTGCTTTATTTATAACGCAAGGTTTGATAATTATTAGAAGTGAAAGAAATGTTTATGCATAAAACTAAGGAAATAAAACTGATTTGATGGCATTAATTATTATTAATAAATGATTGGGTGTGGAATGAAAAAAGGTGACTGATATTATAAAAAAAAATTGTAAAATAAAAAAGAATAATAAAAAGAAGAGAGGCAGCACACCTGGTTTTCTCTCTCTTGTTCCTGGGGTCTGAATCTGTTTATTATTCGTTGCTTGGGTTGGCAAAAACAAACCCTAAAACATCAATCTCCTCTCATCTCAATCTGAAATCGTATAATCTTTAAGGTAAATTCTCTCTCTCCCGTTCCTTTCACCTCTAATTTCGCTATTCTTCTCTTCAATGCCTAATTTTGGTTTCTTTCCCCTTTCTCTTATTTCCCTCTCTTTCCTTCTTCGCTTCTTCATTTTTTGGGCCTCTTCGGGTGTTCTGCGCTTTTGCGAATCCGATTTGGCTTCTAATCCGCCATTCCTTTTTTGGATTCGTCTATAATTTCCTTTTTCTCTTTCAATTTTTCCCCTCTTGATGGACCGCAGAGACTACCACCACCGTCCTGCTCATTTGGTGAGAATTCCCTTTCAATTTTACACTGCAATTCTCCGCTTCCTTTCTCACCCGCAATTCCCTCTCCAATTCAACATATCTGCCTCTGTAATTTTTATTTCCTGATTTCCGATTTTTAAAGGCCATGCACCGTTCACCAGATCATGCACATGGTCATGGCAGAATGCAGGACGAGTGTGATAAATGGGATTTTTTAAAATTCATGGTTTTGGTGCCCCGGTTCATTTCTCACTGATCGTTAATTTTTATGGTGTAATCGAATAGCTGGCGATGAGGCACTGTTACTTTTCAACGCTGAAATATCTTAAATTTATTTATTTTTACACCTGTTTTTAGAGTTTCTTGTTTTTCACTTATGACGTCACGTTTGGGATATTTATGGTTCTTGATGTGATTATATGCAGTCACATGCGTCTCCTCCTGATTACTTTGTCCGCCAGGGGAATACAACTTATCAAGACGATCTATTTTTGAGGAAGAGGACAAGGATGCGTCGGTGGCTTTGTTGCACTTGTCAGGTGGAGGAGTCTTACCCATCGAACGAGAATGAACACCTGAAAAGCCCAAGGAATTACGGAGACAGTGAGTTTATTGGTTTAATCCGTATTGTTTACCATTAAGAAACAACGAAAGTAAACTGCGAAGGATACCCAAAGGCTCATAATTTTCCTCTCAACGATTATCTTTGGTTTATTTCTTTTAGCTTCCATTTTATTTTCTATTGATCTTTTTCATTGCTTTCTAGGGTACCGATTTTCAATAGAACTCATTTAGGCCACAGCAGTGGCTTTTTGCGTATAACCGTTCTCTGCCATGATACGAGCTTCGAATACCCAATTTTAGAGAAAATAAAACATTGTTGTTTGGGGATTATTTGGGTAAAAGTGTGACCTTGCCCTCGTTTTCTATTTTTTTTTTTTTGCTGTAGAAACGTAATTGATGTTAAACCCTTATACCCTGACCATATTACAAAATGTTATGTATGGTTTGACCTCTGTTTCCTTTACACTTCGTAAGAACATTTTTTTTTTCTTCCTCCTTTTGAACCTCCCGGACAGTCATTCTGCTACTTTTTTAGTCTATTCTGTTATGTTATTTTTCTACTGATTTCACCATCTTTTCCCATTTACTATGTTCACAGTGCTCCTAAATTGATGTGGTTTATTATTTATGATAATTTTCTTTGATCTTCAATGGTTGTATTATATTATTGTACCCTGTAGTATAATATTTAAATTAGGTGTCACCCCCCTTTCCGGCAGCTCTTTTAGAGTTAGATTGTATGTGCTACTATTCGATATATAATGATGACTTCAATTAGATGCTTCGAAGTAGTTCGCCATATTAGATCACTGGCACATTTCCTGGTAATGATTACTCACGTTTCAATAATTATTTGCTCCAGACAACCAAAAAGGCTCAAAGGTGTCAGCTCCTGTCAAGCCTGAAACACAAAAGGCNTGCTGAAAACTTATTATTCTTAAAGAATATATATAAATATTGGTTTTATAAAAAATTATTTAAAATAATTTTTTAATTGTAATAATATTTTAGATGTATAATTTTATTACTTTGAAAAATTAAGAATATAATATATGTCAAATTTGTTTAACTTTAAAATAACTTCATTTTGAAAGGAAAAAATATTTAACATGAGTATTTTTTAAAGTCCAAAAATTATTTATAATTTAAATATAATTATAAAAGCATGTTTTCTTTTAATTTTTTGAAAATTTGTATGAATTTATTTTGATAAATTATTTAAAAATTATTATACATAAATAAGCTTTTTTGTTTAATTTTAGTTTTGCTTTCTAAAATATAATAAGTGTGTTTTAATTATAAAAGAAATATTTTTTTAAAGAATCATTCATAAACAAGTTTCGTAAATTTGTATGGATATTTTAATTATGAGAACTTTTTTAATAAATAATTTTTTTATTCCGTAAATTTGTTTGGTTTCAACTTAACTCATTTGAAATATATTAATTTAACGAGTCTAGCTATGTTATTACAAAAAAGATTAATACGTAAATCTTGTTATTAACGTATTTAATTTTAGTTCAATAAAATGAATTTTAAAATTTTTTAATCAACTTGTTTTTTATTTCTTTATTTAGATTTGTGTATGGTATATAATAACCTTTATCAAAGTAAATTCATTGAAAATTAATTAATTATCTTGTGAAAAAAATTTCACCAAAATATTAATATTGGTAGTACATAAATATTTATTAAAAAATAATGTTAACTACATAAGATTTAATTAAATATATATAAGATGATAATTAGATAACAACCACTTCTATTATATTTAATACCATCATTTTTATTTAAAATTAATTACAAGTGGGGTTTTTCTTTTCGCAATAATTTTATATTTAAGTTACTATTTGTAGTATTTATTTAATTCGATAAGTTCTTTAAATTTTATATTAATATGAAAATTCACACTTATATTTATATTTTCTTTTAGTTATAGTTTGTCCTATATTCATAAACTTTAATGAAAGTCTTTAGATTATATAAAATAAGGAGTATATATATAAAAAAAAGATCTTTGGATCTCTTTGTGGAGAAGGAATATTGAATCTTTTTGGAAAAAAAAACAATCCATAGATGTTTAGTGTTACTTTGATTCATTTATCAACTATAACTAAACATATTCAAATTAAATACTTTTATTCTTTAGAATCTTTCTTGAAAATCTTAATTATGAATGACATGATAATTGTTTTTCTTTAATTAATGTCATTGTTGTATGTTTTCAATAATTGGATTTTTTGAAACCTTCCACCATGTTTGATGACTATATTTGATCATTCAGTATTTAAATTAAAGTGTATAAGGTTCAAATTTATGTATTCATTTTGTTTTGTGGTATTTTGATTTTGTTCATTTCGTAATATTTTTATTTAAAATTAAATATAATTTTAGTTTCTTGCGATATTTAATATATAAAAAAAAGGACACAATTAAGTTAAAATGATTATATTTATTTATTTTAAAAATTTGAAAACAAAAATTATCAAAAATTTTGAATATGGATAAATTTTAATTTCACGTAAAAATTCAAAAATTAAAATATAGTTAACNCAAGGTGCACAACCAGGGCCAACACTTGATTGGATACAGCGAGTTAGAATCGCAGTTGATGCAGCCAGGGGATTGGAGTATTTACATGAGAAAGTTCAGCCACCAATTATACACAGGGATATCAGATCAAGTAATGTGCTAATATTTGAAGACTACAAGGCTAAGATAGCTGACTTTAACCTTTCCAATCAGGCCCCTGACATGGCTGCCCGTCTTCATTCAACTCGTGTATTGGGAACTTTTGGTTATCATGCTCCAGAGTAAGCTTCAAGATCCTGCTAGCTATTCATTTTATATCTATATTTGTTTTCGTACTTCCTTTGAATTTTCATATGCATGCTATCCTGTACTATGAATAAACCTTTTTATATGTTTACACTTCTAGTGTTGCCTGTGCGATGTCCTTTTACATAAGCTTTCATGATTTATTACTGAGGCTTATGTGTGTGCTTGGATTTCAGTTAGGAAATCAATTCGAGTTGCAAAATAAGTCGTTGTATCTTTTAAGTCAACTGGAGTTTGAGGTGAATTTTGCTTCTAACTAAATTTAGAAGAAAAAAAAGTATGTTGGCACAGTATTAAATGGAAACTGAAAGTTGGTTTGGATGCTCCCACCGATATCCAAACACACCCTATCACATGGAATTGGACATTGAATAATTTCTCTTGTAGTCATCTATTAAATTTGTTTATGGTTTCTTTAACTTGTTTATGGTTTCTTTACCTTGTTTCCCTTTCCATTTTTGTATGAATTCAATTCAAATGTGTGCAATCTTTCAATTTTACTTGATGATAAATCTGCAAGTGTTGATTGTTAAGTTGTAGTAAGAGGAGGGAATGCGGTTCCATGGTATCAGTACTGGTTTCGGACGTGAACCAGTTTTTTTTATTGACCCTGTACTCTCCACAATTGACTTAAATTTAGTAGAAGTTAAATTGATATACAGGAAATATATGCAGTGTATCTAGTTTTCTTGATTCAGTTTACCTTGAAAGGTCTTTATTCACATTTATTTTTGAGTTTGTTTGTGCGAATGTTGTTCCTGAACAGTATATTTCACTGTTGATATCCCTGCAATCTAATTCAGCATGTGGTTGAAGGAAGTATCTTGTTCATCATTGCTATTAGTTTTTATGGTTTGTGTTGTTTAGGACTCTGGTCCACTTAATGAGTCATGTGAATTCCTCAAGAAACTTTAAAAAACAATTAATACTTTTGGCTGCTTAGCTATCTTTTTTTATCTTTAATCTGTTGTTTCTCATCTCAGTTCTTTTTCCTCTGAAATTTTATGTGGTTTTATCGATTCTTAGCCATCTGAGTTGCCAAACTTTACAGATATGCAATGACTGGGCAGTTGACTCAAAAAAGCGATGTCTATAGTTTTGGTGTTGTTCTTCTTGAGCTTCTCACAGGAAGAAAACCTGTTGACCACACCATGCCTCGAGGACAGCAGAGTCTTGTCACATGGGTCAGTGCTCCTGCTTAAATCTATACCTAGTCTCTGCATTTACATTTGACACTGATGGACTTGTTGACGAGGTATTTTTTGTAGGCTACTCCACGATTGAGTGAAGATAAAGTGAAACAGTGCGTTGACCCAAAACTGAAGGGAGAATATCCCCCTAAAGGAGTTGCTAAGGTACCTGTTTCTCTTTCACTCTCCCCTTACTTGCACACACAAATGTACAGAGATTATATTTTGACTAATGAATAAAGTTCTGGTGCCTGGATCTTCCATTAGATGCTCACATTAACAGTACTTATAGTTGACAATGCAGCTTGCAGCTGTTGCAGCACTGTGCGTGCAGTATGAAGCTGAGTTTAGGCCGAATATGAGCATTGTTGTTAAAGCACTCCAACCACTTCTGAAGACTCCTGCTCCTGCTCCAGAAAGTTGAAGCAAATGAAATGGTTCACTTTGGTTTCTGCATATTCTGCACAGCTCGATTCAATTATCTCCAGATTTCATCAAATACTGCAGATATATCTATATTTTTATTTTTGTTTGAGATTGGATGTGTAGGATTTGATTGGCTCGTTTCATGTCATTGTTAAATTCCATGTATTTATGGCGTCGCACTTGTATTGCCGAGTCTACTGACATATATAGAGCCATGATGCCTCATAGGTTTGGGTTGCGTGGTGCATATCTGAGGGTAATGTTGTTTGTCAGTTAACGTTAATGCCCCCATATTCTTTATTTGTTTCTTGCTATCAAACTGAGCTGATACATGTCTTGAAAGACCCATCACTTCTTGTTCTATCTATCTCTTTATTTGCTGTATTTAAAGCTATCATTTGAGTTTCTAGTCC